CACTGCAGGATGTGCTTGGCTGGAATCAGGAAGTCTATGAGGTAGCGCAGTCCATCCCCACGGTACGTCTTCTCCACCACATCAAAAACTTGGCACAGAACAGTGGCTGCAGTAGCCTCAAACGGAGGGTAGAGTGCCGATAACGTACTCTGAATGCAGCCGTCCAGTGACTCTGAGTCCTGCCAACAGAGAAAGTGTTACTGGAACAACAGCACCAGAGCCCTGGTGAGCCCTACGCAAGCAGTACAGCCACCTCCAAGGGCAGGAGAGAAGATCAGGAAGAGCAAAGAGCTGTCCTTGCTTGCTGCTTTTGGCACCAGCAACCCCAGGTAAACACAGCAAAGCTCTCCCGCAAGGCGAGCGCGGCACTCGCTGTGCACAGCAGCGAGGTTTCCCAGCTTTTGCTTACGCAGCAAGTCCTTCTGCCTGCACTGGGTGGGGCGGCTGCTAAGCCATTCCCTCAACACGTGAGTGCGTGCGAGCGAGACACAGTATCATGGGGTTGGATGGATGGATCCGCAGCACCACAGTTCTGATATGTGGGGCTTGGGTACATTAAAGCCCAGCACTACGCTCGTCAGCGGGCTAAGGGGAGTTGGGCTGAAGCTCCTCAGCCTGCTGTGCTCTGAAGTCCTGCACAGGATAAGCTGTTTGGTACTGGAGAAAGGTGCTCCGCAGTGCAATTCCTTGTTATTCAAAGCTGTTTGCCTCTCATGAAAGGCTCACTCTGGGAGTCAGTTTTCTGCAGGGACAAGTGCCTCAAAGAGAAGCATATGAACGCAGCTGCCTTTGGTGCCTGAGCATGCGCATCCATACATAGGATACCTGTTTCCTGCCTGGGAATCAGAGGAGACGGCTTCCCTACTTCCACCTTAATTCAGGAGAGCCTGCCAGCCAAAGCTTGACCACAGTGTCAGGAGCAATTCCAGTGCTAGAGGCCAATATTACATGACTGTAGATCAAGAGAACTTGCCAAGAACTAATAGTAAACAAAATAAATCTGTACACATACGGAGAGAGGATTGGGATCCCACCTTTCCTCTGTTTTAGAGGGGACCTCTCTGGCTAACTTAGAGCCAGTGGGAGTGAGTTTTGCTACAAAACCAAATGAAAGTTTACTCAGGTGCCTGGCCAGACTCTCATCTGACTCAAATCCACCTTCCTTCACTAGAGACAAGAAAAGCATTTCAGCTGCTGGCCCAGAAGCTCTACAACCTCCTGCAGAAGAGGAACAGCTGTATGGACATGCCTGAAAACATACCTCAGTCCCACAGCAAGATCGGGGTAGAAAGTTAAATAAAGCAGTGCCACAACAGCTTACACTGCCACTAGGGAACAGTAGGATGAAGGGATCGGGAGGAAGCAAACCGTTTCGCTTCTTGCACTCCAAGGGAGCACATGATCATCAGTCCAGACACCTCCACTGGCTTGAGAAAACACAGCAGGCTCAGAGCAAACCTGAACTGACCTGCAGCCAGATGATCTTCACACAAGCCTTCCCACCTCTCGCAGCTCAATGATCTTTAATTCCTTTTTGAGACAGTTGGGTGCTGTCTTTAAGCACAATATGAACTTCCTGTGCTGTTGTAAAGCCTTCTTGCAGGAGAGTCTGTGGGATTTCCCTCCCTGTGAGGGTGGTGAGGCCCTGGCACAGGTTGCCCAGAGAAGCTGTGGCTGCCCCATCCCTGGCAGTGTTCAAGGCCAGGTTGGACAGGGCTTGGAGCAATCTGGTCTAGTGGAAGGTGTCCCTGCCCATGACAGGGGGCTGGAACTCGATGAACTTTAAAGTCCCTTCCAACCCAAACTAGGAAATACTGGCATTCTGTGATTGCACAGGAGAGGTGAGGACAGCCAGGTAATGTCCTGTGTGCACACTTCCAAGCACCAAATGCTAGGGCTGAGCATTCAACTCAAATCCCAAATGGAAGGAGAAGGCTGTTTTAAACAAGCTTCTTTCCAGAAAACAATATAAACCCTCAACTTTTACTCCATTACTTGAAATGAAAAGCCGGGAAGTTCCTTCTCTACAGGAACAGGTCTTCAGAGAGTATCTGCCACTAGATACCATGGAGGTCAAGAGAAAACTGCCAAGAGCTGACTATCAGCCTGCTCTGTGCAGCAGCCTGCAGCTCCCTGTGCAGTTCTGGTCAAGACCTCTCCACACAGGGTACAAGGGAGTAACTCAGCACAGTTCTGCAAGAGAAAGCAGAGAACAGAACTGTGGGATGAGTTGTACAGACCCAAGAAAACAGCCCAAATAAATGTTTCTTTTACATGGTATCCTGCACCTGTAGAAAAGGCATGGAGGGAGCTACAGGGTAGGGAAA